TGCAACAGTGTAATATTTTTCGAATGTTTATAATGGTTTCAACTTTGTCTTCCCTTTATTGTATGTGGCAGTGAATATATGGACTCATGTTGTGATGTTGATGAGACTAATGTCATATATAGGGATAGTATTATTTCCACAGAAATTGAAGGAAGTAGTAAGGAAAACTCATTTAGTCCAAAAGTTAAGGTGCAGGGTCAAAGAATTTAGAATTATTGATTTGCGTACCTTGAATTGCTGAGGAGCCATTTAGGATGTTGGATCTTAAATCCAACACTTCTAAGTTTTCAAAAATTGACAACTCTGCATGTAAACATTTTTTTCTTATTAGCAAAAGAGACAAAATCAAATTCTAAAGAGCTTGTATTGTTTGGGGAGTTCTTAAAGTGACTCAATCTAGCTAGTAGTTACTACAGTTAGATTATTGCAAATTAAAGGGAAAAATTACATAACAAGCTTACCTTTGTTCTGTATCCTAGAAATTACATTGAAGGATAAATTCAGACTCCTTAACTCCTTAAATGTTTGAAACAACGAGAGGTTTAAATGCCAACTGTTTTTGGGGTCATACAAGCTATCTGAGGGGTCATATGCGGCATCTGGCGGGGGTACATCAAACTGCCTGGTATTGCTGAGGTTGAGCTTGATCACATGGCCTGTGGTGGAATCGCAACCGACCCTCTCCCATTTACAACAACTCTTATGCTCAGGGTCATCAACCCATGAAGGAAGAAGTTGGTCTGCATCGTAGCCATCTGATTTGACAAAGGTCTTGAATTCCAGAAGAGCCGCCTTCTCCTCTTCAAAGCAGCACCTGTTTCCATGGATGAAAAGCATATGGATTAGACCCAACAATAAAAACTTAATTACCAGAACAGAATCCATCTAGGAATGAAGAAGAATCTGCTGATGGTAATATTGTTTGCACAAGGCTGGCACTGCTCTGGCTTTTATAGGCAAAAACTAACGTTTAGCCCCTTACCTTACAAAATTGGTAGGTTTTAACCCCTTAACTTATAACATAACAATTTAAACCTTTTACCTTATAAAGTTTGTAGGTTTTAGCCTCTCATCTTACAAAGTTGGTAGGTTTTAACCTCTCACCTTATATTATGACATTTTTAGCCCTTTACTTATACGAATGGAAAAAAATAACTCTCACTTAACATCAGGTTATAATGTTCTATTAGTTCTGTTAACTGACTGTTAACATCCGTTAGCATTCAATTATAGAAAACATTAAATTTAAATTCAATCTTATTTGTTAGTTTCATTAACGAAATGCTAACGGATGTTAACAGTCAGTTAATAGAACTAACAATAAGTTAGCAGAATTTACAGTTAACTAATAGAACTAACAAAACATTATAATATGATGTTAAGTGAGGGTTATTCTCTTCAATTCATTATACAGATAAGGGACTAAAAGTGTTATAATATAAGGTGATGGGTTAAAACATACCAATTTTATAAGATGAGAGGTTAAAACCTATTAACTTTATAAAATAAAGAGTTAAAGTTGTTATATTATAAGGCTAGAAATTAAAATCTATCAATTTTGTAAGGTGAGGAGCTAAAAGTTGGTTTTAACCGACGTTTAGATTGTAATTATTCCTAGGACCAATTACCCCAACATGGCTAAGAAAGGACCTACGAAACCTGGAATTTTTTATTTTGGTAGTTAAGTATTGTTAGGAGGATTCACGTGACGATTCCACTAAAAAAAAATCCTCACTTGCATAGCCCTTTTTTAGCCCTTTTCAGCACAAATTGTCATAATAGAGAACGCCACAAATATAATTTTAGTGTAAACCATCGTAACAAAATATGTCATTAAAAGCAT